CCTTCTTTGAACACTCACATGTCCTCCTCCAAGGATAATGAAAGCCATCTTGATGTGAAAATAAGCAAATCAGATATTGTGCTTGTAACTTCTTAGTGGGATGAACAAATTCTGCCTTGCCGTATCCTCCCTTTTGCAGTAGAGAGGTGAGAGGTGCGTAGCCTAATCAGTGGCTTTCCTCATTGAATAAACACAAGTCCTTAAGCTGAGGAGACACACCAGGCAGTACACCACTTAGTTTTCTGTTTCGTAAAGGTTGCTTGCTGTGTAGGGTCCTCTTATAAGCCATAAAATTCCAAGGTCTGCAGTACTCTATTGAGTAGTTTAAGATGCCAACATTAGCTAGCTACTTCTGGGTAACAAACTGCCCCAAAGTGTAGCAGTTTAAAACAACGAACATTGCCTATCCTACAGTCTGTGTAGCTCAGACCTGTACCTGGTGTAGTCTCTTGTGAGGCTTAGGGAGTCAACTGAGGCTGTAGCTGTCATCCCTAGACTTGACTGTGGGGTAGGGTTCGGGGGAGTCTGCTGCTGCTCATTTGGCTGGTGGCAGACCCCAGGTCCTCACAGGCTGAGGGCTGGATACCTCATTTTGCTGCCCTGTGGTTCTGTCCATGAGATAGTTCACGTGATAGCAGTCGGAGACCACTGCATACACAAATATGCACTTCTAGCAATCTCAGAACTTGTCACTTCCACCATCAATGTTCTTCTGTAGGGGTGAGTCACTGAGTATAGCTCATCTCCAATGGACAGGGATTACATGAGAACGGGAATACTAGAAGACAGAGTAGAGGGGGGCATCCTGCAGTGTAGCTGGGACTGGCTTTTTACTGTTATTTCATACATAGAATTGAAGAGTCCAACAGTTGTTTAACTGTAGTAGCTAAACCAGTCTAGCAGGATGTTGGAAACTTGAAGGAGAAGGTTACCTGGATAGGATCTAAGAGAATTTCTGTAAGCTCATGACTGTACAGAGTCTGCCCATCGCCTTAAAGATCAAAAAGCATGTTTTTGACCAGAGAGCTAGCTCAGTGGGTAAAGACCCTTGATGCCAAGGCCAACAAGCAAGCTTCATACTCAGAGCTCACATGGTAGAGGGAGAAAACCAACTTCTGCAAGTTGTCCTCTGGCCACCCCCTCCCTCACTTGCACACACAATAATAAATGAGTAAATAAATAAAAATGCAATAAAAATTTAGGAGCATATTCCCACATCTGCCTTGTCCAGCACAGAATATTGCTGACTTCTGGAATAGACTCAGATGGTCTAGAGCCTTGGGGAAGAAGGCTTGGTGACCAAGATGGAGGGACAGGTCTCAGGTCAGAAGGACATGTCTTCCCAATGGACAGGGCCTCCATGAAGGTCAGGCAAAGATCAGGAGGTCATTTTGGGCTCCAGGCCTGGGGCTGCTGTTAGTTGCACACATTGGATACGTACTAGCACTGGACTCTGCCCACCCTCTGCTTCCAACTTGGGGGTGCATGGCAGGGATCTCTACCCTGGCTAGCTTGCTGCTGGCACACATCAGTATTCCAGGAAAGAATGGAACCTGCCTCTGGGTGGAGGCATGCATCCAGCTAGGTGCGTCTATGACCTAGCAAAGGACCTCCTCTAGGAAGGCTACTTCACCTTAAGCCGTGTTGAAGAGACAAGTGGAATAATTCGTTCTTTAATGAGATTGTATGCTTTTCCTTCCCAGAATTCCCTTCCCCAGCACAGTCTCTTCCACAGCTCTACTGCTTTGTGAGTCTGCCTGCTCTGCTGAATTACTCAGAAAACTCTGACTCCTGTCTCTGTTCTAAGCATGCTTTCCCTGACACTTGCTTCTTTACTTTCTCTAAAGCTTCCCTCCCCTCTCATGGCCGCCCTCTCCACTCCCCGCTCTTCCTCTTCCTTTTCCCCTTCTCTTCCTCTGAATAGCTGCTGAGATTTACTGCTTGTCTGCCCTGGGATTTTTCATTAAAGTCTAATAAAATTGTCCTCAGCTTTTTTCTGAGTCTGTTTTAAGATTCTTTATTAATGAGACTAAGAACTCCAAGAGGGCTCCCAGTGTCCCAGGTATCACTGTCTTTTTTAAAAAACATTTTATTTATTATTTTTATTTGATGTGTATGAGTGTATTGCCTGCATGTAAGTGAGTGCACCCAGGTTGTGCAATGCCATGGAGGTCAGAAGAGGGCTTTGGATTCCCCTGGAACTGGAGTTAAGGATGGTTTGTAGCTGCCATGTGGGTGCTGGGAATTTAACCCCGGTCTTCTGCAAGAGCAGTCAGTGCTCTTAACTGCTGAGCCATCTCTCCAGCCCCAAGTATCACTGTCTTTATCCAACGCTTTGTTCTAATTTATTCTTAATTAATTTGTATGTGTGTTGTGCGAGTCATTTCTCTACTTCCATTATGCGGTTCCCTGGGGTCGAACTCAGGTCATCAGGCTTGGCAGCAAGTGAGCCACCTTGCCAGCCTTCTTTGTTGTTGTTTTGAGACAGGGTCTCATATATCCCAGACTGACCTTGAACTCCTCGTCTTCCTGCCTCCACCTCCATGAGTTCTAGGCCAGCTGGGGCTATAGGGAAACCCTGTCTCCAAGAAAAAAGTCTTCAATCCTATTTCTCACATGGTTTGACTTGGTATAATTCTAAGTCAGAATTAATTTTCCCTCAGGATGTTGAAGGTAGTCCTTCATTGTTTGCTGCTTGCTGCTTTAAAGAAACTGTGCAATTTCCAGTTTCCTGCCCTTTGTGAAAATCCTCCTTCCACTCCAGGAGCCTGGAGCCTCTTTCCTGTCCTGCCCAGGTTCCGAGGTATTTTCACCTGATTTTCTTTTTCTCCATTGTGCTAGCTACTCTTCAAACCCTTTGACAGCAGTGTCCCTTTGGTCTGGGAAATTGCTGAATTATATCTTTGAATCCTGTTTTCTATGTCAGTCTCTCCTTTGGATGCACCCTTATCTGTTTCCATTTTCAATTTGTCATCTTTCGCCTCTATTTTCTATAAAATTTCCTTCTTTTTCCCTTATGTTCAGTATTCCATTTTGTGTCAGCGTTATCCTTTGAAAAGAACTATTCTGCTTTTTGTATGCTTTTCATTATTCTCTTTCTTTAAGTGTAATCTTTCTTTCTCTGTCTCTGGAGATGTTACTGGTAGTTTGCCTTCGAAGTTTTCTTGAAAACGGTCTTTCTTTCATACAAGTCACCATCTCTCTTGGTTTATCCCACGTCCTAGGTGCTGTGCTCAAATGTAAGGTGATGTCTGGCTGTATACTTGGGTGTTGACTGGGTTACTAGAAAGCTGGTTAGAAGCACTGTGGATATTTACTTGCAACTTCTTGGTGGGGTAGTCTGTTTGTGCTGCTCCTGGTGACAGCCCCAGAGTCTCTTCTGGTCCTTTTACCCAGGCTCTTTGGATTCCCTTTCCTGTTCCTTCCCTTGGAGGTACATGATGGCTCTCTACTGTTCTGGGAGCAAAGTGGGGTTGAGAGGAGAGCAGACTGGGGGAACCTTACTAGCTCAGTGTAGATGGACTTTACTTCTATGTTTTCAGCAATACATCCTGACGTTTCAACTCAGTCCAGACCTACTGTTACCTTCTTCACAGAGTAAGCCTGTAGTATTCTGACAACTGTTTCTTATACAGGCTTCTTTCCCTAGATTGACTTTTGATCTCTGTGTGTCTCTCATTTCCAGGGTGTGTTGTGCTGGCAGTGTGTTGGTGTTTTTTGAGTCATTCCATTCGAATCTGATTATATTTTGGTGTTGTCTACTTGCATCTAGGAATGAAATTATTACCAGGTCACCTGCCTGATTCTCAGCATCTATAATTTCTGTTCTTTTGTTTGTTCTACATCTTTCCTTTTCCTTCAGGGCAAAAAAAATGATATTTTAATAGGATTTTGAGAGGGAGTAATGTAAATTAACATGTTCCATTAATCATCTTTGACTGGAAGTCTTTTGAATTTTTTTCTATAAATAACTCGGGTATTAGGTGCTACTAGGCCACTCCCTGCAATGGGACAGACAACTTATGGCTTCACTCAGCCTGTCCAGGTTGCTACTTGGGACCTTGCTTCCTCAGTAGACCTTGCTCAGCTCAGCTTTCCCTGATGGAAGCTTGGTCACTGGGCTGCTTGAAACCCAGCCTTAGGTCATGTGAAGCTCTGATGCCCCCAACGTTGTTTTTACTTCTACCCTGGAGGCCACTTGCTGACATCTGGGTTTTCCTTAGATCCAGTTTTGCCTTGTTACAGTCCCATTATGGTTGACATGGGAATCCAGGGCTTGAATCACACTAGAAACTGAGTGTGCAGGGCTGACTCCTGTTTTGAGTCAAGGCTAATCCACTCTCATACAGCACGTCACTGGGCCTTTACCCACTGGGGGAGTCTTTTCTTGCTCTTGTTCTGTTTGTCTTTGGAGGCACCTGGCTCATTCCTAGTTTTCCTTTACTTTCTCTTTCATGCAAAGTGGGCACCCACAGATGTTCACCCCTGTGTACCTAGAAGCCAGGCTGCCTGTACTGTGGCCTTATGCTGACAGTACACACTGGTTTTAGAGACTTTCTTGGAGCCGCCAGGTGTCTTCTTAAGGAGCTGTTATAGATACTATGTTTTGATTCTACCTGGGATCCATTACTGTTCTGTAGCAGACTTTAGGCAGGTACGGCCTCTTGGGATAATTTTTTTGCTGAAGTATTATTTGGCTAATAGCAAAGATGCTATTGTGTGTGCTGCTGAGGCATTTTTGCTTTCCTCTGGGACTTCCAGGCAATGAGGTCACTCCCCAGACTCCACTCTGACAGCCCTTACACTTCCAGAATAGTTTATTGTCTATTACTTTACTGTACTTCTGTGAGGATTTTGCAGTGTTAGAGTAATCACTAATTGTGATTTTTTTTTTCTTATAAAGAGCCTTCTCTCTGGAGAAACAATGTATATTAACTGAGGAGAGAGTAATTTTTGATGCCTGTTAAAATACTTAATGGAGTGTTTTTCTTTTTCTACAGTGGTACCTAGTCTTTGGAACGTTGATGGAGAAGTTACAGTCCCTGAACAGAAGCCGGGAGAGGTTGCTGAGGAGCTTGCCAGCTCCTATGAGAGGAAGCTCATTGAGGTAAGGCCATCTGTGTGGGTCATGTTCCTCTGTCTTCCTCATGCTGTGGTTGTCCCTAATGCTGGCTGCTTTGGTGACTTTCCAGGTAAGGGCCTGCCTGTTAAAATAGCCAACCAATGCCACACTCCAATAAAGCAAAACTCAAAAAGGTAAACCCATAGTACTTGATAGAGAAGAAGAAAAGTTAACTGTATGTGATGATGCATGCCTATAATCTTAGCACTCAGGAGGCTGAGTCAGGCCTCTGTGGGTTTGAGGCCAACCTGGTGTATATAGTAAGTGCAAGGCCAGTCAGGGCTACATAGTGAGACTCTGTCTCAAAATAAAAAGTTAAAATAAGTAAAGGGAAAGTTAGTTCTATGGAAAATATTACTTAATTGGAAACATTTGGCACTTATTACAAATAAATAGAGAAGACATGAATATATAACATCAACAGTAAAAGAACTCAGTGCTGGGAGATGGCAGAGTCAGTACAGTGCTTGCCATGTAGGCATGCGGACCTCAGCTGCATCTCCAGAACTCATGTGAAAAATGTTGAGTGTGGGTATCACATGCTTGTAATCCCAGTGCTGGAGAAGCAGAGACTGGAGGATCCCTGTGGGTCTCTGGCCACCCCATCCATCTAATCTAAATGATGAGCCCAGGCCAGTGAGAGAACCTTTGTCAAAGGAGGTGATGGTGTTTTTGAGGATGGTACTCCAGGCTGTCGACTGGCCTACACACACGCACACGCACACGCACACGCACCTGCACACATAAGAAAAGTGAAGGCATCCTAACCCTCTGGCCTACACACACACACACACACACACACACACACACACACACACACGCGCGCGCACACACGCACACACACACGCACGCGCACACACGCACACGTACATGCACACATAAGAAAAGTGAAGGCATCCTAACCCTAGATTTGGAGAATTAAAAAGGAAAGAGTCCTGGTGGAACCATGTGCCGGTAAAGGGACTGTTGTCTCAGGTGCCATTCATATGCAGTTGAAGAGGAGGCTGACTGCTGGATGGGACCAAAGAACCGCAGAAGTAAAAGTACTTAAAGAAGATGTGCTTTTGTGGGAGGTAGTGACCCTGTAGGCTACTGGGTGATGCCCAGGACACACTCCAAGAACTCTGCAATGAGTCCTTTGCTAGGTGCATGTCCCTAAAACATTTTACACATATCTGTGTCTTGGTTGAGGTATGTTCTAAAAAGCTGGCAAAGATAGCATAAAGAAAGAAAACCACATGTCATTTAGATGGAGATACCTACAAACTCCAGACACATATTCCCCAGTCAAATTCAATCACATCTTAATGGAACAGTGCACAGAGAAACACACATCTGTAATCCCAGTGACTCAGAAGGTCCAGGCAGAAGGATCACAAATTCAAAGTCAATCTTGGCAACTTAATGAGACCCTGTTTCAAAGTTACAGAAGAGTTAGGGATATAGCTCAGTGTTAAGAGTGCTTACCTAGTGTGTGCCAAGCTCTGTGTCCATCCTCAGACTGCAAAGAAAAGAAAACAAAAACAAAGGTTAGTATTTAAAAAATGGTTTAATATTAGGATATTCAACGTGTAAGTCACCTTACTATGTTAAAGGAGAAAAACAGGCAATTATCTTGATAAGTAACAAGTTTACTTATAACATTTATAATCAAGAACTATTTCATTTAATTATTTTAATACTTATTTAAGTGAAATGGGGCAAATGTGCATGCAACTTCAGGCTCCTAACCACACCTAACTGATAAAAATATTTTACAATAAAAACATCACTTTATTTATTTATTCATTTATTTGTGTGTGTATGTATGTGGACACGTGTGCTGTAGTGCACATGTGGCGGTCAGAGTACTACTTATTAGTCACTTTAGCTATCAGGGATCTTTTGCTTTGTGGTTCCATATGAATTTTAGGATTTTTTTCTTTTTTATTTCTATGGACACTGTCAGAGGGAATTTGATTGGGATTGTATTGAATCTGTAAATTGCTAAATTACTTTTGCTAAGATGGTCATTTTCACAATATTAATTCTACCAGTCCTTGAGCACAGAAGGTTTTTCCATCTCCTAGTGTCTTCTTTAATCTCCTTAGAGATTTAAAATATTCATTGTAGACATCTAGGTTTATTCCTAGCTACGTTTTTTTGAGACTATTGTGAATGGGAATGGTTCTATGATTTTTTTTTCCTGATTGCTTGTTATGGTTAAATAAAAAGGCTAGTGAATTTTGTAAATTTATTTTGTATCCTGCCACTTGTTGAAAGAGTTGATTATATCTAGAAATTTTATGGTGGAATTTTTGGAATCTCTTATGTGTATTATATCTTCTGCAAATAGGGTTAATTTGACTTCTTTTCCATTTAATACCCCTGTAATTTCCTTCTTTTGTGTAGATAGTGGACAACCTTGTCTGTCTTGTTCCTGATTTTAATGAGAATGATTCCAGTTTTTCTCCATTTAGAATGATGTTGGCTGTGGGCTTGTCATATACAGACTTAATTATGTTGAAGTATGTTCCCTCCACTCCAGTTCCCTCTAGTTTTTTTTTTTTGTTTGTTTTTTTTTTTTTATCATGAAGGCATGTTAGACTTTGTCAAAGCCTTTTCTGTATCTATTGAGATGATCATATGACTTTTGTCCTTAAGTCTGTTTATATGATTTATTACATTTATTGACTTACATATATTGAACTTGCTTCTGTGGAATAAAGTCATCTTGATCATGGTGGATGATCCTTTTGATCGGTGTCTGTATGTAGTTTGTAAGTATTTTATTGAGAATTTCTGCATCTATGTTCATTGGGGATATTGGCCTATAGTTTTCTTTTTTCTTTTTGTCTTTACCCACTTTTGGTATTGGAGTAATACTGGCTTTGTAGAAGTAGTTTGGGAGCTTTCCCTCTGTTTCTATCTTTTTGAATAATCTAAGCAGTATTGGTTATAGTTTTTCTGTGAAGATCTGGTAAAATTCGGCTGTGAATTCATCTGTATCAGGGCTTTTTTAGTTGGGGGACTTTGTATTACTGTTTCAGTCTCCTTATTTGTGACAGGTTGTTGACCTCTTGGGTTAACTTTGATAGTTCAATTAACTCTAGAAATTCATCCATTTCTTCTAGATTTTCTAATTTGATACCGGCCATATATATGTCTTTTTCTTTTTCTTTTTTTCTTTTTGGCTTTTTGAGACAGGGTCTCCCTGTAGCCCCAGCTGTCCTGGAACTCACTATGGAGACCAGGTTGACCTTGAACTCACAGAGATCCACCTGCCTCTGCCCCCTGAGTGCTGGGATTAAAGGCATGGGCCACCACGCCCGGCCAGAGTAGGTTTTTAAAGTAATCACTTATGTTCTGGATTACTTTGGTGTCTGATGTAATGTTTCCCTTTTCATCTCTGACTTTGTTGAGTTTGTGCTTTTGTTCTCTAGATTATCTGGGCTAAGGCTCTGCCTATTTTGTTTATCTTTTCAAAGATGATTCATTAATTCTTTGTACTGTTTTCTTTGTTTCTGTTTCATTGGTTTTTGCTCTGACTTTTATTATTTCTTCTCATCTCCTGGGTTTGGGTTTGGTTTGTTCTTGTTTTTCTAGATTCTTGAGTTATATTAAGTCATTTATTTGTGCCCTTTCTAATTTTTTTTTAATGTAAGCACATAGAGCTCCAAACTTCCCTTTGGGGGCTGCTTTTAATATATCTCAGAGGTTTTGTTGTATGGTATGTTCATTTTTATTTAGTCCCAGGAATAGTTTTCTTTCTAAATTTCATCTTTGACCTATTCATCATTCAGTAGTGAGCTGTTTAATCTTCATGAGTTTGTGTAGTTACTAGAGCTTCTTTTGGTGTTGATTTTAAGCTTTATTGTATTGTGGTCTGATAGAATACATGGAATCATTTTTTTTTTTTTTTTTTTTTTTTTTTTTGTATTTGTCAAGGTTGGTTTTGTGCCCCAGTATATTTTAGAGAAACTTCCATGGGCTGCTTTCTTTGGTGCTTGGGTGGGCTAATTTGTAGATATCTGTTAGGTCCATTTGGCATATGATATCATTTAATTCAGACATTTCTCTGTTTATTCTTTGTCCAGATGACCTGTCTATTGGAGAAAGTGGGGGGTATTGAAGTCCCCTACCATTACTGAGTTGGGGTTAATATGTGTCTTGAAGTATAGTAGTACTCTTTTTATGAAATTGGTTACACAGAGTTTGGTGCATCTATATTCATGATTGTAATGTCTTCATGGTTGATTTTTTTTTCCTTGAGTCAGAATGAAGCAACCTCCTTTATTTCTTCTGATTAATTTTAGTTTGAAATCTATGTTGTCTGATATTAGGATAGGAATTGTTTCTTGATGCCATTTGCTTGGAATATTTTTTCCATCCTTTCAGTCTAAGGTGGTGCTTGTAGGTAACAAAAACATGGATTTTCTTTTTTGGTTCAACTAGTCTTATCTTTTGATTGGAGAAATGAGGCAACTGATGCTTAAATTTATTACTGGAAAATGTTTATTGGATATGGTAACTATATTCTTAGTTATGTTTTTCCCCATGATCATAGCCTCATTTATTTTCTTTCCATAGCCTCTTGGGTATGGTTATTCCTTTCTTCAGTCCTTTGTATTGCTTTGAGTATTTTTTGTAGGGCTGCTTTGGTGGATACGAATTCTTTCAGCCTATTTATATCATGGAAGATTTTTTTTTCCTTTTCCTTTGACTATGATATAGTTTTACTGTGTAAAGAAGTCTAGGTTGGCATCTGTGTCATTTAGAACTTGGAATACATTGCTCCATGCTCTTCTGGCTTTTAAAGAATGCATTGAAGGGGGCTGGAGAGATGACTCAGCAGTTAAGAGTACTGGTTGCACTTGTAGAGGACCTGGGTTTGATTCCCAGTACCCACATGGTGGCTAACAACCATCCATAACTCCAGTTCCAGGAGATCTTACACCCTCTTCTGACCTTCATGAGCATTACATGACACAGGTGTACTTACATAC